TCCTCCTCCTCCCACGTCGTCCTCAAGCGCCAGCGGAGCCTCACGGGGCGAGGTCAGCCCACGGAGCAGGAGAGAAAGAGGTACACACACTTATACATATTACATACACATATTATACATACCAAACACATACAACCACACATATATACATACATATACATAACATAACACATACATACACACACTACATACACATACATATATATACATACACACACATACACACACATACTACACACATACACACATACCACACCACATACACATACATATATACAACAACAACACACAAACCGCCATTCGCCACTAAGTGGCGGTGACTCACCACGACGCTTGTGCCAGGCCATGTGCACCTTGAGGCTACCACGTGAAGTGTCGAACACCCCGCTGGGCAGGAGGTCACGGGGCAGACCCAGCAGGTGCCACGGGTCGACTGACTGTGATGACCGAGACGACTGGCTGATGCACCACCTGTGCCCCCTACTGTGCCAACTTGCTGTGGCTTTAGCCACCCAGCACTCCACTCGTTGTTGTGAGCGTCGCTCACAAGGCTGATCTTGACACTGCTGGTACCAGTCATCGGCAAGTCCACTCAGCTCCACGTCCTCCTGTACCAAATCACACCATCTCTTCTATAACCCTGCCGCGCCAGTTTCGCCCCTTGTTCCGGCCGAACAAGAAGCTGTTTAGCCTGCGGTGGCTGGCCATGCGGCTACATGACCACCAACGCAGCCTTGCCTGCTGGAGGTGCTCACCGATGGGACTTTGCCCAGATCTTTCAAGGATTTGTGATCCTTGAAATATCTGGGTACCGGCGAAGATGTTCCATTAGGGGAGTGCACGTTTCGCAAGCGTGAGAAGGAGGGAATGACCGTGGCCGAGAAGACCTGAAGCTTCCACATAGCGTTACGCAACCGAAAAAGATACATGCCTTCGACTGATTCGGATGAGACCTCTGCTGTTAAACCAGAACGGTCATAAGCACACTGCCCGGTATGGGAAACTCTCCACTCTCTTCACAACTTCCCCATCACCGATTAGGAGTTGGGGGGTGGAGTGTCCGATGGTACACAAATACCAAGGCAAGTGCTTAGTTTTGGTGGGGTGATGGTAAGGCCCCACCTCTTAGTGGCACACTCCAGTTTTCAGCAGCACGTCTCCAACTCCTCCTCTGAATGAGCACATTACCAAATCATCGGATACATAACGTGGTTGACCAATAGGGAGCCATCCCTTGACCGCACCCGGGCATCGTATCAGCCTCTCAGTATATCTGTACCAAATGGAAATTCCCCTGGTACAGCTATTGAAGGCTTCACGAACTACGTGGTCAAAATAGATGTTAATAATGTGGGAGCCGAGGACATCCTGTCGCACCCCAAGGTGTACAGAGAAAGGCTCCGACTCCCGGCCACGTAGTTTTACCCGGGCCCGCTCACCATCATGAAGGTCCTTAATGAATCGTGAGCAGAGGGTCAGGGACTCCGAAAGCATGAAGACCAACCCAGAGCCCCGGCCTACTGATGGTAATCATAGGCCTTGACCAAGTCAATAAAATAGAGATGTAGTTCTTGTTGGAATTCCCTACACCTCTGCTGTAGCAGACGGACAGAAAATATGGCATCTATACAGGACCGCCCTTTCCGAAACCGCATTGGGTTCCGCAAGCCTCTCTCAGCGTGCCTAGCAAGGCGATGTTGAATAATCCTTGCCAGGATCTTTCCCGGCACACTGAGGAGTGAGATGCCCCTGTAGTTGTTACAGTCTGTGCGGTCCCTTCTTAAAGAGGGGGACCACCAGGGCATCCTTCCAATCCTGCGGAGCCCGTCCAGCGGTCCAGACTGTTGTTATGATGTCATATAGGGCAATCTGTGCACAAGCACCACCCTCCACACAGCATTGTCGCTTGGGAGATCATCTGCCCGGTTGCCTTTCCTGGTCTCAGCTCTGGATTGCCTTCAGTACTTCCTCAACGGATGGCACCTCAGTCAGCCACTCACAGGGGGTGACTTCTTCTTCCAATATTGAGGCACCGAAGCCTCAGCAGGGTATCCCCACTTTGTGCCATGATATTTTTCCTGGCTGAGGAGATTTTCCCTCCCCCAGGAGCCTCAGAGAAAGCTCAGCAAAATCTGCAAACCTGTTCCCTGGGGGTCGGAGATTGGATCACCGTTTTTTCCCCTAATGATGGTAATAGGTGTGGCGCTGCAGGTTACTTTTTGATGGAGTTAAATAGGAAATTGTGATCCGCGACCACCACCCATCCTTGCAAGCGCCTCACGCCTCTCCGAACCTCCGAGCGAAGCCTCATTCTCCGACGTGGGATGTTGTTAGCTGATGAGAGTGGGCCTGTCGCTTTTTTCTCAACTATCCTGAACACCTCCTCTGTCAGCCAGGGTCTCTGGGGAGGTCTGGACCGCATACCCAAGCAGCCATTGCAGCTGCGTGAGTCACAGTCCTAAACCTCGCCCATTTACCCTCGACATCAGCTTCTCGACTGACTCAGCCCTTCATCTTCGACCCAAGATGCGCCCCTTCACGATGAGGCGTTACGTCATGCAGCTATAAACCGCAGTAACCCCTCAGGTGTCACCCTGCCATTACACATACACAAGACAAAGATCCTCCGTATAGCCTTAACAGACTGTAGGGGCAAGTGCTGTTAGCGAGCACCTATGAAGGCCGGCACGGCACACGAGGGGGTGTGTGGCCAGCACCACGCCACGACCGCCTTTGTCTCCCCAGTGGCGATGTTTACACACCGCACCAGGGACTCATTTCAGGCTGAGTCGACCTACGGGAGGGCCCAGGACCGGTTCAGATAATCGTCACTGGTGTTGGCCGTGAGCGGGAATCGAACCCGGGTCGCCGGGTTCATAGCGCAGCGTAGCGCTAACCGCTACACTACCGCTCCCCATTCACATACACACACATATACATACACACACATATGTAGTAAGTTCGAGGAGACGATGTCGAAGTTGAGGCACACTCTGTTTATTAACCCAGGGACAGGCACAATAGTTGAAGGGGTATCGACCCCTTCACCCGTACTATGGGAAACCCACCCTAGTACTAAGCCCCCTGTCCTGTTCCCCAGTCCTCCTCTACTGGGCTACGGGAGGCTGACTGATCTGGCCCTGGCAAGCACAGATCTCGGCACCAGCTAACCAGCCTTGCCCTGATAAGGGCAGCGGTCTGGAAGCTTTTGGGCCGCGCCGCTGGCTTACCCGGCTCGGCCCTTATAAGGACGGCGAGACCGGGGAGTCCCAGGGCCTAATCTCCGAGTCTTGGATCTTCACTGGTCAGCTTCGTGTCGAACTGCCTCGAGCTCTTTGGGTCTCCACCCTTTTATAGGGATCACCTCCGAGGGCTGGGGGCGTGGGCAATAACGGATGCGGACGTCGGTGTGACCACCCGTGTATGTGAGTGCCAACACCCCTGTGTTTGTTGTCCGCCGTTTCTCCCGTAATAATCCCTACACATACACACACATACACACACATATACATACACACACATATACATACACATACACACATATACATGCACACACATACACACACATATACATACACACATAAACATACACGTGTAATATGAAGATGCATATTGTGTGTGTGTGTCTGGGGGGGGGGGATAACTGGGCGATGGTGATTGGCTCTGCCGGCCTCAGCCCGCAGCCAATGGGATGTCGAGCCAGAGGCGTGGCCCTGGGGCTGCACAGCAACATCTAGAAGGTTCCAGGGGTGAGGCTGCTGATTGGATGGGTGGCATCACGTGGGCCACGTGGTTGTAAGGGGTAGAGAGACACAAGCTCGTGGTCAGTGTGGAGAGCAGAGGTCGCAAACGGGTTTTGATTCCTTACCCCCTGTACCCGATTACCCGTACCCGACACCCGTACCCGGCCGCACCAGGGTCGTAAACGGGTACCCGTACCCGGCCGTACCCGTACCCTACCCGTACCCAGCTGGGTACGGGTACCCGTTCCCTACCCGTACCCTACCCGAAACGAGTGACAAACGGTTACTCACCGGTGACTCACGGCCTACCTGTACCCGTACCCTACCTATACCCGATACCCGTACCCTACCTGTACCCGGCTGGGTACGGGTACCCGTTCCCTACCCGTACCCTACCCGAAATGAGTGACAAATGGTTACTCACCAGTGACTCACGGCCTACCCGTACCCCGGCCGCACCAGGGTCGCAAACGGCTACCCGTACCCGGCCGGGTACGGGTAGCCGGGTATCGGATACCCGGTTGCAACCTCTGGTGGAGAGGTGTGAGGGAGCGAGCGAGCGAACGCCACACTGGAGTAACGGGGGAAAAGGAACCCGGCGTGTGAGGGAGCTGTGTACATGGAGAACAAATACAGACCAGACAAAAGACACGATATCGTCCGGAGCGGATTTATGACACATCTGTCTCTGTGTGGTGAATCTATGGGTGTCTGTGTGGTGATGTCTATGGGTGTCTGCGTGGTGATGATGTCTATGGGTGTCTGTGTGGTGATGTCTATGGGTGTCTGTGTGGTGATGTCTATGGGTGTCTGCGTGGTGAGTGCCGCTGTGGGTGAGTGCTGTCAATGTGGTTACCCACAGCCCCGTCTTCAACCAAGGAGTGTGGTACGAGAAAAAAAGACGCAGTTCGCGGACACTGTCCAGCTCAAAGGTCGGTGTGTGCGTACGTGTGTGTGTGTACGTGTGTGTGTACGTGTGTGTGTGCGTACGTGTGTGTGTGTACGTGTGTGTACGTGTGTGTGTACGTGTGTGCGTACGTGTGTGTACGTGTGTGCGTACGTGTGTGTGTGTGTACGTGTGTGTGTACGTGTGTGTGTACGTGTGTGTGTACGTGTGTGTGAACGTGTGTGCCAGGCGGGCAACACTGTCGTGGGCAGTGCTGTGGGGGGAGGGCCAATGCCCATTGGCCTCTCCCCTCATGGCATCTGTGACCACCACAGTGGCTAAACGGGGGCTCTGGACGGCTGCGAGGGGCTGGTAACCCCTCCACCTTCTATTAATTACCACGAAACCACGAATTAAACATAAACCTGTAACTAATAAGCTTGTGCCGGAGGCCCCGGGGGGTCAGGCTTTTATGACGTCTCCTGGCCAAACCCCATTTGGCGGAGCCAGGAGATTGAATCTTCACCCTCGGGGCTCCTCCAGAAACAACGAAAAACCATTGCGGTTGGCCACGTGGAATGTTCGAACGCTCACTGCGGAGGAGAGGCTGCCACTCCTTTGTCGGGAGCTGGACCGGTACCCGCCTGGATCTCTGTGGCATTCAGGAGGTCCGGTGGACCGGTTCTGGCTCTTGAGGGGTGGGCAGTCCTCTACTCGGGGCAGGAGACTGCCAAACAACAGGGTGTGGCTCTTCTTCTGAACAAAAGAATGAAGGGGGCGTGGGAGGTGTGGGAAGCTGTAAGCCCCAGGATACTTTGGGCTCGCCGTCCCATCAACCGGAGGCGAGGAGTGGTGGTCGTGGTTACTTATGCCCCCACCGAAGACGAACATCCGTGGAGGGATGCAGGCAAAGCCGATGAGTCAGACGCTTTCTATGACCTCCTGTCACAGGTGCTGGCTAAAGTGGCCACTCGGGACTTCAATGCCCGAGTTGGTCATGATGCTGGCACCTGGTCTGGAGTGATTGGAAGGCATGGGCCAGATCAGCTCAATAACAATGGTAGGAGGCTGCTAGATTTTTGTGCAGCCCATGGGCTTGTAATTACCAACACGCTCTTCCGGCATCGGCGCATCCACACAACATCATGGATGCATGCCGGGTCCAAGCAAGAACATCTGCTGGACTACATAGTGACGGACCAGCGGATGCGAGCCCATGTCCTTGACACCAGGACCTACCGTGGAGCTGATCTGCCCTCTGACCATCGACTAGTCATCTGTAAGATGCGCCTGCCATTTATCCACTCCGGTGGTGGGTGTACACCCAGGATCCCATTCCAACCAAAAGTGGCCTGGTCTCAGTTAGCTGATGAAAGTTGCAAGAGAGAATTTCATCATCGCTTGCAGCTGGGGTTGGCATCGTCCCCCACTCCACCTGATGTCGAGGGTAAATGGGCGAGGTTTAAGACTGTGACTCATGCAGCTGCAATGGCGGTCCAGACCTCCCCAGAAACCCTGGCTGACAGAGGAGGTGTTCAGGTTAATTGAGAAAAAGCGACAGGCCCACTCTCATCGCCTACAGCATCCCACGTCAGAGAATGAGGAGGTTTACCGCAGCCTTCGCTTGGAGGTTCGGAGAGCCGTAAGGCGCTGCAAGGAAGGGTGGTGGTCGCGGGTTGCTGAGGAGATGGAATCTGCCTCAGTGGCCTGCGATCACAAATCACTATTTAACTCCATCAAAAAAGTAACCTGCAGCGCCACACCTATTACCATCATTAGGGGAAAAAACGGTGATCCAATCTCCGACCCCCAGGAACAGGTTTGCAGATTTGCTGAGCATTTCTCTGAGCTCCTGGGGGAGGGAAAATCTCTCAGCCAGAAAAATATCATGGCACAAAGTGGGGATAACCCTGCTGAGGCTTCGGTGCCTCAAATATTGGAAGAAGAAGTCACCCCCTGTGAGTGGCTGACTGAGGTGCCATCCGTTGAGGAAGTACTGAAGGCAATCCAGAGCCTGAGACCAGGAAAGGCACCGGGCAGAGATGATCTCCCAAGCGAAATGCTGTGGGAGGGTGGTGCTTGTGCACAGATTGCCCTATATGACATCATAACAACAGTCTGGACCGCTGGACGGGCTCCGCAGGATTGGAAGGATGCCCTGGTGGTCCCCCTCTTTAAGAAGGGAGACCGCACAGACTGTAACAACTACAGGGGCATCTCACTCCTCAGTGTGCCGGGAAAGATCCTGGCAAGGATTATTCAACATCGCCTTGCTAGGCACGCTGAGGAGAGGCTTGCGGAACCCCAATGCGGTTTCAGGAAAGGGCGGTCCTGTATAGATGCCATATTTTCTGTCCGTCTGCTACAGCAGAGGTGTAGGGAATTCCAACAAGACCTACATCTCTATTTTATTGACTTGGTCAAGGCCTATGATACCATCAGTAGGCCTGGGCTCTGGGTTGGTCTTCATGCTTTCGGAGTCCCTGACCCTCTGCTCACGATCATTAAGGACCTTCATGATGGTGAGCGGGCCCGGGTAAAACTACGTGGCCGGGAGTCGGAGCCTTTCTCTGTACACCTTGGGGTGCGACAGGGATGTCCTCTGGCTCCCACATTATTTAACATCTATTTCGACTGCGTAGTTCGTGACGCCTTCAATAGCTGTACTGGGGGAATTTCCATTTGGTACAGATATAATGGGAGGCTGATCGACGCCCGGGTGCGATCAAGGGATGGCTCCCTATTGGTCAACCACGTTATGTATGCCGATGATTTGGTAATAGCTGCTCATTCAGAAGAGGAGTTGGAGACGCTGCTGCTGAGACTGGAGCGTGCCACTAAGAGGTGGGGCCTTACCATCAGCCCCACCAAAACTAAGCACCTGCCTGGGTATTTTGTACCATCGGACACTCCACCCCAACAACTCCCAATTGGTGATGGGGCAGTTGTGGAGAGAGTGGAGAGTTTCCCATACCTGGGCAGTGTGCTTATGACCGGCTCCAGTTTGTCAGCAGAGGTCTCACTCCGAATCAGTCGAGCGGCAATATCTTTTCATCGGTTGCGTAACGCTGTGTGGAAGCTACCTGGTCTGTCGCTCCGCACGAAGCTTCAGGTCTTCTGGGCCACGGTCATTCCCTCCCTTCTCTACGCTTGCGAAACGTGGACCCCCCTAATGGAGCATCTTCGCCGGTTGAAAACATTTAGGCTGGCCTGCCTACGATCCATCTTGGGTTTAACCAGGCTGGATTGTGTGAGGAGCTCACAAATCCTTGAAAGATCTGGGCAAAGTCCCATCGGTGAGCTCCTCCGGCAGGCAAGGCTGCGTTGGCTGGGTCATGTAGCCCGCATGCCCAGCCACCGCATGCCTAAACAGCTTTTGTTCAGCCGGATCGAGGGGGCTAAACGGGCGCGGCACGGGCTAGAGAAGAGATGGAGTGATGTGGTGCAGGAGGACGTGGAGCTGAGTGGACTTGCCGATGACTGGTACCAGGTGTCAAGATCGGCCTTAGTGGAGGAGGCTCGTGAAGGACGCTACTGGGCAGTTGGAGGCAGTCGCCCTCCAACATCAAAGGAGGGCGGAGGAGCGACGCTCACAACAATGAGCGGAGCGCCGGGTGGCTAAAGCACAGCAAGTTGGTACAATAGGAGGCACAGGTGGTGCATCAGCCAGTCATCTCGGTCATCTTGGTCAGTCGACCCGTGGCACCCGTGACCTCCTGTCAGCGGGCGTTCGACACTTCACATGGCCTCAAGGTGCACTTGGCCTGGCACAAGCGTCGTGGTGACGTCACCGCCAATTAGTGGCGAATGGCGGTTGTTGTTGTTGTGTAAGTGTGTGTGAACGTGTGTGTGTGAACGTGTGTGTGTACGTGTGTGTGCGTACGTGTGTGTGCGAACGTGTGTGTGTGTACGTGTGTGTGTGTACGTGTGTGTGTGAACGTGTGTGTGTGTAAGGTGTGTGAACGTGTGTGTGAACGTGTGTGTGTACGTGTGTGTGCGTACGTGTGTGTGCGTACGTGTGTGTGCGTACGTGTGTGTGCGTACGTGTGTGTGTGTACGTGTGTGTGTGAACGTGTGTGTGTGTACGTGTGTGTGTGTGAGCGTGTGTGTGTGTGTACGTGTGTGTGTGAACGTGTGCATGTGTACGTGTGCGTGTGTACGTGTGCGTGTGAACGTGTGTGTGTGTGTACGTGTGTGTGTGTACGTGTGTGTGTGAACGTGTGTGTGTGTGTGAACGTGTGTGTGTGTACGTGTGTGTGTGAACGTGTGTGTGTGTACGTGTGTGTGTGTACGTGTGTGTGTGTACGTGGTGTGTATGTGTGTGTGTGTACGTGTGTGTACGTGTGTGTGTGAACGTGTGTGTATGTACGTGTGTGTACGTGTGTGTGTGTACGTGTGTGTGTGTACGTGTGTGTGTGAACGTGTGTGTGTACGTGTGTGTGTGTACGTGTGTGTGTACGTGTGTGTGTGTACGTGTGTGTGTGTACGTGTGAACGTGTGCGTGTGTGCGTGTGTACGTGTGTGTGTGTGAACGTGTGTGTGTGTACGTGTGTGGTACGTGTGTGTGTACGTGTGTGTGTGTACGTGTGTGTGAACGTGTGTGTGTGTACGTGTGTGTGTGTTAGTGTGCGTGTGTACGTGTGCGTGTGTACGTGTGTGTGTGTACGTGTGTGTGTGTACGTGTGTGTACGTGTGTGTGTGTGTACGTGTGTGTGAACGTGTGTGTGTGTACGTGTGTGTGTGTTAGTGTGCGTGTGTACGTGTGCGTGTGTACGTGTGTGTGTACGTGTGTGTGTGAACGTGTGTGTGTGTACGTGTGTGTGTTTACGTGTGTGTGTGTGTGTACATGTGTGTGTGCAGAGATTGTTTCTGGATCCGTACTCGTCCTCCGAAGACAGCGACAATGACGACAACTTCCCAAACACACAGACTCAGTGACACACACACAGACACACACACACAGACTCGGTGACACACACAGACACACACACAGACACACACACAGACACACACACAGACACACACACAGACACACACACAGACACACACAGACACACACAGACTCAGTGACACACACACAGACACACACAGACTCAGTGACACACACACAGACACACACAGACACACACACAGACACACACAGACTCAGTGACACACACACAGACACACACACGTACACACACACAGACTCAGTGACACACACACAGACTCAGTGACACACACACAGACACACACACAGACACACAGACACACACAGACTCAGTGACACACACACAGACTCAGTGACAACAAAGATCCCCCATATAGCCTTAACAGACTGTAGGGGCAAGTGCTGTTAGCGAGCACCTATGAAGGCCAGCACGGCACACGAGGGGGTGGGTGGCCAGCACCACGCCCGACCGCCTTTGTCTCCCTAGTGGTGATGTTTACACACCGCACCAGGTACTCATTTGAGGCTGAGTCGACCTAGGGGAGGCCCAGGACCGGTTCAGATAATCGTCACTGGTGTTGGCCGTGAGCGGGAATCGAACTCGGGTCACCGGGTTCATAGCGCAGCGCGCTAACCGCTACACTATCGCTCCGTGTCGCTGTGTGTGTCGCTGTGTGTGTCTGTGTGTGTCTGTGTGTGTGTCACTCAGTGACACACACACAGACACACACACAGACACAGTGACACACACACAGACTCACACACAGACACACACACAGACTCAGTGACAAACACACAGACTCAGTGACACGCACACAGACACACAGACACAGTGACACACACACAGACACACACACAGACACACACACAGACTCAGTGACACACACACAGACACACACACAGACTCAGTGACACACACACAGGCACACACACAGACTCAGTGACACACACACAGACTCAGTGACACACACACAGACTCAGTGACACACACACAGACACACACAGACACACACACAGACACACTCACAGACACATAGACACACACGGAGACACACACAGACATACACAGAGACACACACATAGACACACAGACACACACAGAGACACACACACAGACACACACAGAGACACATAGACACACACAGAGACACACAGACACACACACAGACTCAGTGACACACACAGACACACACAGACACATAGACACACACAGACACACTCACAGACACACACACACACACAGACACACACAGACACACAGCTGAAGTGGGCTACTCAAGCTGCTCGCTCTGCTTTGGGTGTCGCCCGTCGATTTGGAAGTAATCCCGCGGCAACGCCGCCTCAAGAGAACGACGACCCACAAAAGGGTTTTGAAGTTATATCCGTTGACTCGTGAACCGAATAAATCCCGTGTTCCTCGTTGAGTCTCGTCATCGTTTTTATTTTCTTACCTATAAACGACACTTTTTACAGGTAGGAACAATGTACCACACTGCTGCCCACCAGGGATTATTTGTCTGTCTGTCTGCCGTGGATAAATAAATATATAATATAGACAGCTCTCTGATTGGTGGAGACCTACTGCCGGGTACGGAGAGGGGAGGGGCCTAAGGAAGGGGGGGGTCAGAGGAGGGGCCTGAGGGGGGGGGGGGTCAGGGGAGGGGCCTAAAGATATGGGGGGGGTCAGGGGAGGGGCCTAAGGGACGGGGGGTCAGGGGAGGGGCCTAAGGGAGGGGGGGTCAGGGGAGGGGCCTAAGGGAGGGGGGGTCAGGGGAGGGGCCTAAGGATATGGGGGGGTCAGGGGAGGGGCCTAAGGGACGGGGGGGCAGGGGAGGGGCCTGAGGGGGGGGTCAGGGGAGGGGCCTGAGGGAGGGGGAGGGGCCGATAGTGAAGGGGGCTGTCTGCCTGGCTGGCTGCCTGGCTACCTCAAGTCACGTGATCTTGTACACAGGGAGAGGAACAGCAGGTTCCACACTGCCCACCAGGGATTATGTGTCTGTCTGTCGTGCACGAATGCGCTGTCCAACCAAGTTCCGACCTGCACACTGCGAAGGAACATGTTTTTTTTCCGTGTGTCTGTCTGTCCGTCCGTCTGTCTCCGTGTGGACGCTAGACTTGCGAAGGGTTTGGCTCGCGAGCCGTGGAGTTGACGTTGACGACGAGTCGCTGGTTCCACGCCGCAAGCCCCGCGGTGAGCCGGCGCTGTTCCGCTTTCCCATCCGGAAACTTGAAAGTAGTTAAATGAACAGTTTGGTGCCGTTATTTCGCATCGTTTAAAAAACACGTTCCTTCGGAGTGGGCAGGTAGGAACTTGGTTGGACAGCGCATTCGTGCACGACAGACAAATAATCCCTGGTGGGCAAGTGTGGAACGTGCTGTTCCTCTACCTGTGTACAAGATCACGTGACTCTATGTAGCCAGGCAGCCAGCCCCCTTCACTATCGGCCCCTCCCCCTTGCTTAGGCCCCTCCCCTTAACCCCCCCTCCCTTAGGTCCCTCCCCCCTTAGGCCCCTCCCCCCTTAGACCCCTCCCCTGACCACCCCCCCATATCCTTAGGCCCCTCTCCTGACTCCCCCCTTCCCTTAGGCCCCTCCCCTGACCCCCCCCTCAGGCCCCTCTCCTGACTCCCCCCTCCCTTAGGCCCCTCCCCTCTCCGTACCCGGCAGTAGGTCTCCACCGAGCGGGGAGCTCACACGGCCGAATCGAACGAAGAACGCCACTTGACCGACTCGGAACGAGACGGTTCCGGGGCCAAAGCAGAGCCGGTCTCGAACGCACCGCCCAGACACGGAGGGTGACACGCCCCCTCCACCACTCTAGCCATGACTGCCCCACGGTGGCTAGGAGATGTTGACTACCTCGCCTGGTGCGCAGGAGGTCTGTGTCTCTCTCTCTCTCATCATCATCACGGTGGCTAGGAGATGTTGACTACCTCGCCTGGTGCGCAGGAGGTCGTGGGTTCGAAACAGACCATGGCTACGCCTGCTGCTGTATGTTTGGAGTTTGTGGTGTCTCTCTCATCATCAAGGTGGCTATGAGATGTTGACTACCGCGGCTGGTCTACAGGAGGTCTGTGTCTCTCTCTTTCATCATCACCACGGTGGCTAGGAGATGTTGACTACCTCGCCTGGTGCGCAGGAGGTCTGTGTCTCTCTCTCATCATCATCACGGTGGCTAGGAGATGTTGACTACCTCGCTTGGTGCGCAGGAGGTCTGTGTCTCTCATCATCATCACGGTGGCTATGAGATGTTGACTACCTCGCCTGGTGCGCAGGAGGTCTGTGTCTCTCTCTCATCATCATCACGGTGGCTATGAGATGTTTACTACCTCGCCTGGTGCGCAGGAGGTCTGTGTCTCTCTCTCTCATCATCATCACGGTGGCTATGAGATGTTGACTACCTCGCCTGGTGCGCAGGAGGTCTGTGTCTCTCTCTCTCATCATCATCACGGTGGCTAGGAGATGTTGACTACCTCGCCTGGTGCGCAGGAGGTCTGTGTCTCTCTCTCATCATCATCACGGTGGCTAGGAGATGTTGACTACCTCGCCTGGTGCGCAGGAGGTCTGTGTCTCTCTCTCTCTCATCATCATCACGGTGGCTAGGAGATGTTGACTACCTCGCCTGGTGCGCAGGAGGTCTGTGTCTCTCTCTCTCTCATCATCATCACGGTGGCTAGGAGATGTTGACTACCTCGCCTGGTGCGCAGGAGGTCTGTCTCTCTCTCTCACTCTCCTCACGGTGGCTAGGAGAGGTTGACTACCTCGCCTGGTGCGCAGGAGGTCTGTGTCTCTTTCTCTCTCATCATCATCACGGTGGCTAGGATATGTTGACTACCTCGCCTGGTGCGCAGGAGGTCTGTGTCTCTCTCTCTCTCATCATCATCACGGTGGCTAGGAGATGTTGACTACCTCGCCTGGTGCGCAGGAGGTCTGTCTCTCTCTCTCATCATCATCACGGTGGCTAGGAGATGTTGACTACCTCGCCTGGTGCGCAGGAGGTCTGTGTCTCTCTCTCTCATCATCATCACGGTGGCTAGGAGATGTTGACTACCTCGCCTGGTGCGCAGGAGGTCGTGGGTTCGATCAAGACCATGGCTACGCCTGCTGCTGTATGTTTGGAGTTTGTGGTGTCTCTCTCATCATCAAGGTGGCTATGAGATGTTGACTACCGCGGCTGGTGCGCAGGAGGTCTGTCTCTCTCTCTCTCATCATCATCACGGTGGCTAGGAGATGTTGACTACCTCGCCTGGTGCGCAGGAGGTCGTGGGTTCGATCAAGACCATGGCTACGCCTGCTGCTGTATGTTTGGAGTTTGTGGTGTCTCTCTCATCATCAAGGTGGCTATGAGATGTTGACTACCGCGGCTGGTGCGCAGGAGGTCTGTGTCTCTCTCTTTCATCATCACCACGGTGGCTAGGAGATGTTGACTACCTCGCCTGGTGCGCAGCAGGTCGTGGGTTCGATCCCAACCCTGACGATGCCTGCTGCTGTCTATTTGGAGTTTGCGGTGTCTCTCTCATCATCACGGTGGCTAGGAGATGTTAACTACCTCGCCTGGTGCGCAGGAGGTCGTGGGTTCGATCCCGACCCTGACACCTGCTGCTGTATATTTAGAGTTTGCGTGTCTCTCATCATCATCACGGTGGCTATGAGATGTTGACTACCTCGCCGGGTGTACAGGAGGTCGTGAGTTCCATCCCGACCCTGAAGCCTGCTGCTGTATGTTTGGAGTTTGTGTGTCTCTCTCTCTCTCTCATCACGGTGGCTATGAGATGTTGACTACCTCGCCTGGTATACAGGAGGTCGTGAGTTCCATCCCGACCCTGACGATGCCTGCTGCTGTCTATTTGGAGTTTGCTGTGTCTCTCTCATCATCACGGTGGCTAGGAGATGTTGACTACCTCGCCTGGTACGCAGCAGGTCGTGGGTTCGATCCAGACCATGACACCTGCTGCTGTATATTTGGAGTTTGCGGTGTCTCTCATCATCACGGTGGCTAGGAGATGTTAACTACCTCGCCGGGTGTACAGGAGGTCGTGAGTTCCATCCCGACAGGCTAAAATAACCCCTGCCCCGATTAAACCCGGGTATAGTTTGGCCCAGTCCAGAGTATACCCGGGGGGGGGGGGGGGGGATGAAGTCTCCAAGGCTAAACTAGACCCCCCGGGGGTTTAAACTCGACTGGGCCAGACCATACCGCTCCTGGCCAGACTAAGCCCCGTGTGAAAGTTCACAGGCAATTATCCAGACAGAGAACAGGCGACAACGCACTTCAATCGATATCTAAAACGCGTACGCGTGGAAGTAAGAATCTCAATTTGATCAATTGAAGCATTTTTAAGTTCAGGGTTATTAAATCCTTTATATTAAGTTCGCTTGCTTGCTTAGGACCGTGCAAATCTTTCGGTCGTTTTTTAACCCACTTCCCGTGATCCAACCGAGCTGATATTTTGCACACAGACTCGTTGTTCGTGACAATTAATGTTCGTGAAAATTTTTTTTCCAAAATTTTACACTGTTTAGGGAAAACAAATTAAATATTTAATTACCAATTGTTTAATGCTGCCAGACAATCATCTGACCCATAGGTGGCAGCCATCTCAAGCCAGAGGACGAGAGGACTCTAGCCGCCCCGATGCCACGCATATAAAGGATTTATAGTGAAAAACTTTGTTTTTACGGGTTAAATTTTTTTTTAAGTTTTTTTTTCTGGTTG